ATATATTGGCAGTACGAACCGCCGACATTTTTGGACCTTTTATTGTGTGAGCAGATCCTTTAATTAGCATCCGCTGGGGGGCAGAGAAAAAAAGCCAATTAATCCCGTTAGTGGGTGAATGTGTGTGCAGAGAAAGGAACGGGTGGCGGTGGGGATGACAGAGAAAACGACTGTCTTCACAGAAAAATGGGCTTTCATTCGCATCAGCCGGCTCATGCATTTCATTGGGTAACTGCATATGGACACGTATATATGTTCCTTATTCGTTGTGCATGTGTGTGTGTGTGTGTGTGTGTGTTTTTTTTTTTCTCCTTCCGCCGCTGTATTAAACGCCGCAGGGCCCTGCAGAGCGCAGACTCCTCTCGGCCCCCTGGATGCGCAGGTTCGCAGCCGGCTGACAGCGCTCCTCTCCAGCCGGAGTATCTGGCGTTTGGTTTCTGCAGCTCGGAGGCCAGGCGTGCTGAGCCTGACACTCGCAAGGCGTGGCATTCATATAGCGTTACACAGCCATGGGCGTGTTCCCACCTCGCAGCTGCCACACTACTGACTTATATAATTTAGCCTATTAGATATAAATAAATGTTTTTTATTTTATCTTCTTTAATAACAGCCTGATCAGGGTTTTGCCCCAAGTCCCATTTAAAAGACATTTAAAATTCAGCATCGTCAGACATGCAGGCCGGCCATCTGTCTGTGTTCCTGCCGGTCAAACCTGTCTCACCATCTTGTCCTCCAGCTAATAAAGCCTGTGAGCTGTCTCACCGGTAAACCTGTCTGTCATGTCGTCCTGCTGGTAGATCTATCTCAAAAATAATCCAACAGGGTTATTGGTAGAAATATTGTGATCAGCCTCCCACACTGAGTGTTAGATCACTTTGAGAAGTGTTATATGGAGGTAAAGGGTCTGGAAATGGATGCGTTTAACATGATACAAGTGGATTGTTGTGCTGGTACCTGCAGGTGTTGGTAGGAGCGGACAGTGTCTTCATGGCTGACATGTTTTGTCATCTTCTCTGGGTGGATTTCTTTTGCTCTTTGTGTCGTTGGTCCATCTTTACATTGAAATGTTGCAGTTTTCTTCTCCTTTACGTTCTCAGTGATGATGTAGCCACATGGGAATGTGTTCCAATAAAGTGTATAGATTCAAAATGGGATTATGATTCCGCACCGTGGTGCACATCAGTCCCGCTATAGATCCCTTCAAGTATAAGATGAATAAGCAAATTATTTCACCCATTGACTGCACTGCTGCAGCAGCAGTGTGCAGCGGAGACGGATGAAATGCAAACCAGGAAGTCCTGGTTGAAGACTGATTGGCCGATAGATTTTGTTGAAGCAGAGCGGAGGTTTCCGGCACAACTTCGCCTGCTCCCGAGGTTCATGGAGAAGGAGGTCAACACTGTTTAGACCTCGGTCTATTAGACCTCGGTCTAATACAGTTTCTGTCTTGGTCTCATAATTGAATTTATTATGAATTCTGTGGTTGGTCTACTTGATATTGGCGATATCAAGCGGGTATCGTTCAAAATACTGGTGCCAAATACAATACAGGATCCTAACTTTGGATATCTACTAGTTACTGACTTGTTTACTTTCACAAATACGAGCATATTTTCCTACGAAATCTTTCCATTTAAAGGAGAACGCCACCCAAATTAAGAATTAAAATATGTAAATGTCCATGGCCAAGGAAAGTTCAATCACTGGGCTGTTGGTGAACATGAGCTCGTGTCTCTCAAAGCCAGAAACCAGAGATGTAATGTGATCCATTGCAAGTCGGAAATCGATAATTCCGCGCCGGTATTCCCAAATACGGATCTATATGCGTCTAAGTGCATCTGCTCGGGAGAACATTGACGCCTACAGCAGATTGATGTTTGTATGGCAAGTCTCTGACGTTCTCAAGCTTCTACAGACGACCTCCATCAAGTCACCGCAGCGCCAGTATCCAAGAGAATTAATATTGGCTTCATAAGAAATGTTATGACCGCAAATTCAGAACATCTAACTAAAGACATTTTAAGAGTCTTTGGTCCTATTAAAGGAGACCATAGTCAATGAATTCTTGACCCTCAGAATGTTTGTTTTCTGTCCAAAAAACATTTTCAAACGATATCCCTTCGAAGAGCTCGTCTGAACCGTCACTGGCAGTGGGGGATTGTGTCCCAGTGCTGCAGGATGTGAGCCGGCCCATCATAGTGGTAGTGTGTAATCATTCGGACAGACGGGAGACGTCCAATCGTGCGTGATGCAAAGTGGGGCCAGAATTCAGCATCTCCCTGAAGTCTTGAGGGTTAACTGGAGTATAAAAAATCCTCAATGCCCTACTTCAACTAAAGGCTGCTCTGTCATCAGAGACCTGCAGGGTCCTGGTTCACTGTTGGTTGGTGCTCATGCCGTGGTGTCTCTGCACTGCTTTCCCAATGACCCATTTCAGTTAAGCAGAGTGACATCTGTGGATTTTCTCCTTGAGTTTTCGAAGGCTGACCCCTCGTAGTCCATTAGTCGACTAATCGGCCCTTCTGGTCTCAGTCGATGAAGATCTCTTAAGTAGATGAGTTGTTTTTTATGTTTTTTTTTCATGCTTAAGGACTTCTTTCCAGGAAACCTATGAGCACATCTCCGACAAACACAAGATTAAATATATGAATCGATTAGTCGACAAAATTGTAGAGAAGAACTTCTTTGGTTGAGGACCGCCTTGGTTTTCTCAGTCGGTGTTCATTGATGCCATTTGAGCAGCTGGCTATCACCAACATACTTGTCAAGAAAATCCCGATACAGTTTAAACTGATCTGTGAAGATGCTAATTGAGTATTGTGGTTTTGTAATATTGGGATTCCACGCTACTACAAGGCCCTGGAGATGGAAACGTTGGTCTGTTCACTGTGCTCCAAAGGGAGATATTGTGAAACGGACTGTGTTTCCTTTAAGAAAAGACGATACCGGTTCAAACGCCGTGTTCTTAAAGTGACACCGATGCTAATAGAATACTTCATTGGATAACTTTTTCTTTCTACTGTATTCGATACCCATCATGTGAAGGGAAGCATTCAGTTGCGTAAAATGCCACCACTCCTCCCCATCCAAATGATTTGTACATGGATTAATTTGCAGTAGAGCCGTACATTCACAGCGCTCGACCCCCCCCCCCCCCCATTAAATCGAAGAACACTTGCAGCTAATTGGCTGCGGTTAAAAGCCTATAAATAGTAATTATTTCTAGATCTGTGTACATAAAGGATCAAATGCAGGTATAGCTGGACTGGAGAAGTCTTAATACTGGGTTATTTCGATGGACAAGAATTTTGGTAATTGCTCTTTTCTCTAACACCACAGTCAGCTCTGACACTTAAAACAAATTCATTCAAAGCTTTTTGTCAAAACCAATAGATTTTTCTAAATATTTGCTGTTGACATTCATCTGCTGTGCACAAGTTCCATACACAGTGCTGTGTGCTATGTTTCTATAATATACTGTTTTCTACTAGTGCAGCCTAAAAGACATATGTGTACTGTTTGTCACAAACAGGAAATGGTACAAGACTCGAGCCAATTAACGTCAATCAAACTGTGACTTTGGAATGTGACGGACAATTAAACTGAACAAACAAGGAACATGTTTACAAGTTTCTTTTTGTTTTCTGAGCTTTTTCCCTGTCAGCTTATTTTATTACAATCTACATTTTGCTTTTCATGTTTTGCAGCTGTAGGCAGCTCCGCCATTCCTTTTTAGCTTACATGTGGAGAAATGGTGCACACCAACAAATCACTAGAATACAAGCGTTTATTAGCAGGAATACTTGTGTTTTTGAGCACAACATTTTTGTCATATTTCAACCACCACATTCAGACCTACTAAGAGTAGCGGTGCCATCCAATACCCATACTACCATAATATTTAGTGTGCTAGAAAATGATTTAGTTTGTGCCTACGGTTTTATGTTCCACATGTCATCATAAGTGTGTCAGGCAGTGTGGGACTGGGTCTGGTCCGGTCTTGACTTGGTCTCAACCCCTCAAAGTCTTGGTCTTCTCTCGGTCTATGTACACTCAGGTCCTGGTCCTGACTTGGTCTCTGTTTATAGTTGGTCTTGACTAAAACACTGGTCCCAATACACAGTGTGCCACAAATACCAGGATGTCCCAGTGCATCCGGTCTCATTTTGCAGAATGCAAGCCAGCAGGCTTATTTGGCTGTTGCGACCCACAATCCTCTGCACGGCGGGAGATGCGTCACGTCGACTGAGCGCTCATTGGCAGATATCATGATTATCAAATATATATGAGCAAGACGGTCAAAGTTAGAGGCGCAATGTTATGACAATGTAGCATGTCCTAGTATGCATGCAGCGGTTTGTACTTTGTAAGGGCAGCTGCAGTACATAATAAAAGTAAAAATAAAAAGTATGCGTTAGGTACGTAGTATGGAATCATTAAGGACAAGTCAATAGTCTCCAGTGGATGGCTGCTTTTT